CTAGATCGGATTATTTGTATTACATAGATCTAGTACTTTCCCCCTTGGTCCAGGCACATCGATAATCGGACAACCATTGAAATATCTACTGAATTTTTCGCTGTTTAGCGTTGCTGACATTAGAATTATCTTCAAATTGGGATTGCTTGGCATTGCTTGGAGTCGACTCCAAAAAAATGTGGCTTGAAAATTTTGTGTTACCGCATAATTTGCGAGACGTTTCAAATATAACAGCGAAGGTCCAACGAATGTTTTTTCGTTTTGTATAGCTTCGATCAGAGTTTTATCTTCCTGTTTAATCAATTTAATACCACCTCGATCCCAACTGTGCTCAACTCTTTTGTGCTTGTAAATGTTTCCCGAAATATTCTGCTGGCATATATCGCACCAAACCATTTTGCGTTTCCTGTTTAAATTATAAAATAATTGTTGATATAAAAAATGTTAAACTGAGAGTGAAGAGCGATTGAGGTTAGAATATCACGAAAATGTGCATATGATTCTAAACGTTCTAAACTCATTTATTGGTTTTTTTCTTTCTGCTTTACATTTCTTGTTACTGTAAAATCACTTTTCAAAAATTTATGAAATCGTATTCAATCTAAACACAATAAAATCACAAAATAACTTACAGTTTGCACACAAAAATTTAATTTTTTTCAACTAATAGGAACTATCGCAAAATTGCGTTATGAAAATAATGTGTTTACGGTTTTGACAGATTATTAATGTCGACGTATACGTAACCACAGCTGTCATAATATATACGTAACTTCGTATTTTCACATTGTGGAGAATTTTTTCTGTTTCATTAATAATGAATCATTATTTTCTGTAATAAATAGAAATTTATTTATTTATAATTCTAATAGAATGAATTTGAAAAAATAAATAGAATCATTTATATGAAATAAAAATAATTCTAATTTGAAATAATACGATTTTGTTAGGTTCCCATAGAATGGTGTGAGTATTTATAATTTAGTTGTATTATTTTATATGCTTTATGTGTGTGTACAATGATTTTTAATTGATTTAATTTCAATTTGATTTACTTGAATGATTTTTAATACAATTTTTGTGCTGAAACTATAACATTCAAATACATTCCAAATTATTGAAATAAATTTGATTTTTGCATCTAATTCACACTAAAATCAGATGGCGCTCATTAGCGAGATTCGCAAAAAAAAGTCTCCAATCTCATATACGTCAACCCCCCTTGAGTCATCCATAGTGCAGCACACTCGATATCATTCCATTTTACTTTGTTGTTTAGCCGAATCCAAGAAAATACTTTGACACCATTCAGTCCAATCATTCAAATACTTCAATACCGTGCGATGAAATGCCTTGATTTTATCCATAAACTTTCGTTTTGGAGCACCATTGTTGACTTTCTCACTTGCAGTGCGGAATTCAGATGAAAAATAATTATTTTGCAGCCGACTTTTAACATTAGTTTTCAATTCATCACGCATCAACAGCACAAATGTAGTCTCCTTCAAGTCGCAATATGGCATTTTGAAAATTCTCTGCTTGATCTCGAACGAAAATCAACGTTACCAAAGCGAATGGGTCATCGAAAAATTCCAAAATTTTCACAGGTGCATCGAAAGAATGAAAATATTCATTCAATGCGTCGAAATTGGCAATGATTGAACTCAAACATTCTTTCAACGCTAAGAAGCGCGTTTTGCTGTAGCCTTTCAATTTTACGTATGTTTCACCAATTGCATCACAAAAATCTTTCAATGTATTCAAACGAACAGTGTATCGGTAGAAGTGTGTATAAATTTTCACTGCGATGTATTCAACGTCAATGTCCAGCTTGTCAGAAGCGTTGCCTATCGCATTGTGAAGTGAATGAGCGGTGCAACCAGCTCCAATCATATTCGCATTGAAACGTTGTTTTAGTTGCTTGAATACATTTTTGCTGCCTGTTCGATGAACGGATCCAAAATTGGTTGGTGCGTTGTCACCAGAGAACACGACAATTTTGTTCTCAATGTCATAATTGTTTGCCGTAACGCTTAGCAAATTCACGATTATGTCAGCAGTTTCACCTATTGAAAACAATTTTATTTTAGTAAAAAGAACACAATCAAATCATTCATTTGATGAACCTTTTTGATCTGATAAATCCAAAACCTTTGTTTTGAGACCTTCGAGTGCTGCAAAATAACGAACAACAACGGGAAACATTTTGATTGCACCATGGTTTGAAGCATCTGTTGCGATCGAGACGAAATTGCATGATTCCAATTCCTTTTTTCATTTCTTCGACAATTTTTGGAGCAAACACATTTGAAACAATTGCTGCGCATTTCGTTCTACCCAATCGGAATTTGTTTTGCATAAACACTTCACGAAAGATACCGCTTTCACAGTCAGATGACGCAAATGATTGATTTTTGTGAATTTTGTGGTAGCACCACAATGCTTCTTTCGCTGCATTTTCAATAGCTGCTTTCTCATTAGCTATATATGTTCAACCAAAATAAAAATACTGATTGTAATGAAAAACATCACCAAGAACAAACAGCAAATAGAAATA